AGTGACAAACGCTGCAGAGAGCAGACAGCCAGTCAGCCAGCCAGGCAGACAGACCGAGGGAAGCAAACCGAGAGAAAGAGAGAAAGAGAGAGAGAGAGAGAGAGAGAGAGAGAGCGAGAGAAGGAGAGAGAGAGAATGAGAGAGACGAGAGAGAAGACAGACAGAGGGAGAGTCAGTCTTCTCTGTCATCTCCGTTCCAAGCTCTCTCCCCAAAAGCTGCTTAAACCTGGCCCTCAACCCGATAAGCCTAAGGAAAATCGCTACAGCAACCTTGCCTTGGTCCAAGTCTTGTCCCGACCAATAGCTCGGCACTTCCTTGGCCAACTGCTTGGGGATGCTCAGCTGCGAGAGCTTCTCGCGGAGCGCTTCGAAGGAGGGTCGCTGCGCGGGGTCTTGCGCCCAAGCCTCCTTCAGGAGTGTGAAGGATAGGGCTTGAGCATCTAGGGTTTTAGGTCAGGGTTTCGGGCCTTCCGGTTTAGGGCTTAGGGTGTCAAAAATCTTATTACACAACAGCGGTGTACATACCCCTGGCACACACATTTTCTATTAGCATTGCTAGTATGATGATGACATACTGTTGCTGTTGCTACTACGTACGATCATACGAGTCCTGAATGAGCTTGCCCAAACGCGACTTCGAAGCCTTCTCATCCATGCTGGGCCGCTTGTTCTCGACGCAGACGGCTTTGAGCTTGCACAAATCTGTGTACCTGTGATAGACTGACAACACTATCATCGCGACCATTGCAGCAATGATAGTTGCCACTCATTGCGATATTAAATAAGAGAAAGGTCATACCACGGACAGTAGCAATGATCAACATGCTATAGCGGACGAAAAGCGGCAGAAGCACCGGGAACAGTGAAACCCCATTTCAAAAAGTCCTTTAAGGCTTACGGCATAGCCGGTGTAGGGCACGGACCAGATCACCGCCTAGAACCTGAAGGTCCCTCAAACCCCAAACAGCAAACCGAGATCACCCAACAACCCCCAAAACAACCTCAACCCAAATCCTAAACTCTGAACCCCTAAAACCCCTCCTAAATCCCTAAACCCCTAAACCCTACAAAAACTCACAGGAATGCCGAGGGCACCCTGCCCAGGCTTCCTGTGCACAGAGGAGCTCCCAGCCGAGGATGGCAAAAGCATAGACCTGTCGAGACAGAACGCAGAGGGGACTTGTTCGAACAGGGGTTTTGGCGGGGTATATCCTTCTTATGGTTTACCGAACGGCGAAATTTTTGAAATACTATAGGAAATTACAGTGGTTGCTCGCCTTGGGCCCTACATTATCCGACGCGAGGTAATTACTTGGGCTCAAAGGTTTGGGGGTTTGGGTGTTGAAGGGCGAGTTCAGGTTGGTTTAGGCTTTGCGGCATGCCACGACCGGAATACCAGAATCCATACCTCCAACCATCCGGGCTGTCCCCTTCATGTAAGCCCCTGGCATCCGAAGCCATACTGCAAGGCTTCCCATCGAAGAGCTCGGGCGCTTTGTAGGCCAGCGGCCCATGGCCAAAGATGGCCTTGTTGAAACCCACATCCTCAGCTGGCTTGCGGATGAGGACTCTGGGACGAGAGCCCGAATGATCCGTCACGACATGAGGGTGGCAGAGCTGGAAACTCAACCCAATCCCAAGGCGAAAGCCCAAATGCCAAAGTTGCCTCCCTGCCATCGAGGGGCCGTGACTTTCGCCAGGAGCCGGGACTTTCCCGACTCGAAGATCAGGACGTTCTCCGGCTTCAGCTCTTGGTGGATCAGAGGCTCCAAGAGCCCATGCAAGTGCCTTCGATTCTGTCGCTTTTGGGGCTTGGGGTTTAGGGGTTTAGGGTTTAGGGTTTAGGGTTTAGGGTTGCCTTCGATTCCCGCTTGGGGCGGCTCCAGTTTCGAGCGCTTTCGGGCTCCGGGGATCAACAGTGTAGCTATGCAGAGAACGACCAGGACATTCTGAAAAAAAACCTCGTCCCGCCTTCTGTATAAGGGCCTCAAAAGCTTCATTAGCTTTATGGGCATAGTAACCCTTATGCAGTAACTCTCAAAAAAAAAAAAACGTCATGGCATCCCTGTTTTTTGCACCTCAACAAGAACCCTAACACCGAAATCCTATGGGCCCGAAAGTATCCCCCAAAGAAAGTAACCCTTTATAATAAACCTCAACAAGCATCGCCATGGCAGAGGCTATGCCGTGGGCCAGGGGCAGCTGCTGCTTCTGTACCAGCTGTGGCTCCTCTCGGATGAGACGCCTCAAGCACCTGCCGGCTTACGACTTAGGGTCTAGGGGCTTAGGTTTAGAGGTTCAGGGGCTTAAAGGCTTGTTTTGACGGTTCTGCTTGTGTCTGCCGCCGATGACTAAATTGCGCAGCAGAGCCGGCCGGAGTGCACACTCGCCTCGACGCTTACAGGTTTAAGGGTTTTGTGGTCTGTTGCTTGTTTGTTTGCTATAGTAGTTTCTATACGGTTTGGGGTGTTGGGCCGCTGGGCTCAGGGCTTTTGGGGTTTAGGGCGCTGGGGCCCTTCGGACTGTCGGGACGCTCGGGGCGAACGGGTGCAGGCTGCGGAAAGTAGGTGGCGTGGACGTGGCTCGTGTTCATTACAGGTCCCTCGCAGTCCGAACACGCTGCAAGCGGCGGATGAGTGTTGCCGAGCACCCCGGCCCACGAATCATGCTGAGCATGTCGATGTTGGGGGTTTAAGGCTTGGGCATCCGTGGCCTCATCCTTGCATCACCACGACCGTGATGCTACCCACCGAAAGCAGTCGTGGCTAAATGCCCCTTGCCCCCAAACGACTATCATGAAGAGCCCCAAAAACCCTGAAAGCCTTTTTCAAGACCCTACAATTACAAACCCATGAAGACCCTCCCAAACCCGAAACCCCACACCGAAAATCCGAAAGCCATCGCCACCCTAAGACCCTCAGGCCCCCCTCCAAAAACAGCCCATCCCCAAAATCTAAAACCCTAAACCCCAAAACCCCCTAAACCCCCAAAACCCCCAAAACCCCCTAAACCCCCTAAACCCTAAACCCGTGTGGCTGGGCAGGTGGAGCTGTTCTCGAACGCCCCGATGCCACGAGCCTAAGAGGACGTTTTGGGATCCAG